CGCATGCGCCCTGCGCGGACAAGATGGCGGCGCCCGTGGATCTGGAGCTGAAGAAGGTACGAGACCCCCGCCCGTGTGTTCTTTCATGTGTGCTCCCTCCTTGTGTCCCACCCTTCCACTGTGCGTCCTGCCCACTGTGTGTGTCCCCTCGTGTCCCCCTCCGTGTGCCGGGGTCGCCGGGCGGTCCCCTCGTGCCCGCAGCCCGGGACCGGTTGTGCCCCCGCCTGTCCTCAGCCCGGCGCTCTCCCCTGGCCAGGCCTTCGCGGAGCTGCAGGCCAAGGTGATGGACACGCAGCAGAAGGTGAAACTGGCCGACCTGCAGATCGAACAGCTCACCAAAACCAAGAAGCACGCGCACCTCACCGACACGGAGGTGATGATGCTGGTGGACGAGACCCGCATGTACGAGGGCGTGGGGCGGATGTGAGTATCGGCCGGAGCGGGGCCAGCCCGGCTCCCTGCGCCGGGAGAGGGGCCTCTCAATTCAGGAAGGACAGTGAGGGGCTGGAGCGTGTCCAGAGAAGGATAACGCAGCTGGGGAAGGGTCTGGAGCACAAGGACTGGCTGAAGGAGCTGTGGGGGCTCAGCCTGGAGGAAAAGAGGCTCGAGGGGAACCTTCTTGCTTTCTTCAACTTCCTGACTGGAGAGTGGAGCGAAGTGGTTGTCAGGCTCTTCTCCCAGATAACAAGTGATGAGAAGACAGAGTCTTAAACTGCACCAGCGGAGGTTTAGGTAGGTCATTAGGAAAAATTTCTTAACAGAAAGGGTGATTAAACATTGGAAAGGGTTTCCCAGGGAGGTGCTGAAGTCACTATCCCTGGAGGTGTTTAAGTAAAGACTGGACATGGCACTCAATGTTATGATTCAGTTGACAAGGTGGTGTTGGGTCACAGGTTGCACTCTGTGACCTCAGAGGTGTTTTACAACCTGATGGATTCTGTGATTCTAAGACCCCCCAGGCTCAGTCTCTGTGAAGCCTCCAGGCTGCTGCCCTGGGCACGCTCTTTCACAAAGAGCACATCAGCTTTCTGTCAGCACATTTACTTGTTCCTTTTTTCTCATTGTTTATTTTTAATTCCAGCAATCTGCCTGTGAATGCAGTGAGGCTTTCTCCTTTACCTCTTGGGGTTAGGTACTGGCTGTTACAATTTATATTGGCCTTGTATGGTTTTGCTGGCTGGCTCCTGACCCTGATGCTGTCCTCTGGCACCTCTGGGGAGTTTGTAATTTCAACTACCAGAGCAGTATACTCTAATGCCAAATGGCATCTGTGAGAAGGCCCTCACAGATCTGCCCAGCATCAGTCATTTCCAATTTAGTTTGTGTCAAACTCCTTGAAAACCCCTGTGCATAGTTCCTGTGCTTGGGGCTTTGCTGGCACAGATGTGTTACAGAAATGTCCTTTGCAGTGTCATGCCAGGGAATGGATCTAATGTTATTGTTTGGATTTTTTTCAAACCCTTGGAGGCGAACATAAAGCTGGGATGGGTAGTCCCAGTGCACTCTTAAAGATGTGCTTCTGTGTGTTGGATAACTGTCAAAAGAAACTCCTGAAACCAGACAGAGGTGTTCTGAGTAATTTCTGCAGTGAACTGTGGTGGGATTTCAGCAGCCTCTGATAGAAGACCCTATAAAGTGGTCTTTATACAGAGTGGTTTTACCACTAAAGTGGTTTCAAATCTGAAACACGTGCTTGCTTGACAAATATCACATTAGATTTCTGCGTTTCTGATTTGAGAAACAGGATTTTGTCTCATGTGAGTTGGGTAACAGTGATGACTGCCCAACTCGGGATGTGGTTTGTGAAATACTGGATCTGCTCTGACTGCTGCCAAAAGGGGTGATTGTATCGACCTCTTCCCCACCCTGTTTACCCCACCTTCTTTGTGTTAAAGTGGGTGATCACAGGACTGAGCAGTGAGCCAGGTCAGACTTCAAGTGCCCTCATCCATCAGCCCACACAATCTCCAGACCAAGTTGTAGGGAGGTGGCAGGACTGGGGAGCCAGGAATGGTGTGTACTTTGCATTTTGCTGAGAGTTTTCAGTGCAGTTGTACCCAGGATAATGGAGCTGTTTAGAGTGGCAGGGTTCCCACTAAATAAACTTTTCCAAGTAGGTGCATTAAATGTTTGGTTTGGTGGAGGTGCTGGTGACATCGAAAAGAGACAGATTCTAGTCTCTTGCAAGAGGTGACTGATTGTCCCAGGCAGGCTGTAGATGTAGCAAACACTTGTGTTTGGAGTAGTCATGAGATGTCTCAAAAGCCTTTTTTTTCTGTTTGGGTTCGTCCCAGAGGAGACAGATGAAGAGTAAAAGATAATTCTGGAGTCTACATGTTTTTCTAAAGCTTTTTGAAAATTTGAAAGTCCAGAGTGCCTTTAGACTGGAAAAGTCCCTCAAGGTACTTTAGGAATGTCGGTCTTTATTGTTAAATGATCCTGCCTTTGAATCAGATGTGGGAAGCAGATGTTATTTCATTGTGGTGTGAAGTGCATTGTCCTGCTTTCTGCTTCTGCCTCCTCCTTAGCAGTAAGACCCCTTCTTGATGTGCTGAACCATTTACCCTTCCTGTGTGCAGGAGCCCCAGTCTCCTGGGGAATCCTCTCTTCCTTACCTTTCCGTGACCAGACACGGCTGGCAGCTCCAGCTCCTTGGGGGTGGCAGAGGCGCCAGCAGGAAAATATTTGCATTATGATTTGTTTAAAAACTGAACTCTTAATGGGCTTTGTTGTATTAGTTGCTATGCAAATACAGATTAAGAGAGTGCTCTTCTTGTCAATGCTACTCATTCATTCTTTTTTTTTTCCTTTTTTTTTCCCCTGCTTAAGCTTGACAGAGTATTTCTGTGAGCTCTGCCTGTCCTGGCTGTGGGGCTGAAGCTGCCCTGCCAGTTGGCAGTGATGCACTGGTGTGATTTGTGTCACTTCCTAGTGCAGAGAGCTTGCACCAAGTACTTGAGGAACTTCCTGGAACTTCCACTCCAACCACTAATAGAGAATTTATTGCAAAGATTTGGGCTTTTAGCAAAGCAGGCTAAAGCAGCCCATGAGTAGGAGTTAAAATCCAAAGGCAGTCTGGCATCTTGTGTTCCACTGGAGAACAAAGGAGGTGGTCATTGTGGTTCTTCTGGACATAGAAGCCATGTTCTGTGAAGTGGACTAGCAGATGTCCTGCATGGACATGAGTTTGGGCACCAATGGCATATTTGAGATGTCTTAATTTCATTTGCGTAGTCCAGCGTGGAAATGCTGGAGCTCTAAAGGGGTTCAGATATCCAGGAAGGGTGGAGGTTTGCATCACTGTTAGCTCTGATTATCAAGTTCTTCTGCTTGTGTAACTAAATTTTTGAAGTATTTTTTGTGCTTCTATTCCTGTGCTTAATGCTTAACTTTTTTTTTTTTTTTTTTAATTTTCTTTTTTTTGTTCTCTAACTCACCTAAGCTGCTTAGATGAGCAGCACTTAGAATCTGGCCTCTGATAGGTTTTCTGTGTTTTTCCTCTAGCTTGGGTAGATGGGCTGTATGCAAAGGGCTAGCATGTACCCTTGTGTAGGACAAAATACTCCAGGTCTTTGTGGAATTTGAAGTCTTGAGGAGCTATGGTGATGTGCTGCATCCTGGGAGGAAGCCTGCCTGGTTTGAACTTCCTTGTGCACTACTTGGAAAGCAGCTGTGTGGTTTTTATTTTCTGAACCCCTATCCTGAGTCTTCTTCCTTCCTTCCCAGAAGGCTTTCTCTTTACTGGTGATGAATGTGAAAGTTTCTTTTGTTGTTCCTCCATTTGTTTTTCTTCTTTTTTTTTGGGAAATATTGCAGTTTGTGTAACATGCCTTACTGGGCTCCACATGTGGGGCTCAATTTACTTTTGCTACAGCTAATTTTGGTTTGACAGAAGAAATGTCAGTGCCACAGGGTATGAGCTGATGAATTGCTGTGTACTGTACATATCTGTGAGGCTGGGATCTCATCTGGGTGATGGCATCTTGCCAAATACATTTCAGTTCTGTTACTTCATACTCTTTTGAAAGGCCTGTTACGTAGCCTGAGACAGCTACCACTGTGCTGGACTTCTGCTTAAGCTATTTGTGAACTGATATCATCGTGTTGCTTTGAGAACTATGTTGAAAGTTTAAGCTTCAGAATTCTGTCTGAATATTTCAGACCTTTCCCTTTACATTCTTCTAGCCCATAACCTGGACAAGATCCTTATTTACAGAAGAAAAATGTCTGGCACTTGGCGTGGGGCACAGAGTGCTGCAGTTTTTCATGCCGTGCCAAAATAGACAGTCAGTTTTGGTTTGATATTGCTTTATCATCAGTTTACTTGTACAGCTAATGGGAGAACACTTAAAAGAGAAAATATAAGTAAAAATCAAGCAAATACTGTGGTACAACTTTTGGCTCAATATTTTCTGCAAGCATAATATATTATCACAGCTGTCCCCATAAAATGTCTTTGTGCCATTACACTATTTTATGGGACAGCTGTAATAACATGATTTTGAATTTTAAATTTTTTTTAAAGGGTGGTTCAGATTTTTGGTGGCTGAACCATACTCAGGTGAAATCTGAGAGAGAATTAAATGTTCTTGATGATTCCTTGGATTTAAATGCATTCTTGCTTTTATTGTGATTCATGGTTTTGTTGGGAAATGAGACATGATCAGTCACTATAAGCTCTTTCCTGAGCTGCCAAAGGCAGCAATCCCTGCTGTATATCACTGGGTAAAGCTGCAGGAGCTGCATTTTCACCACTTGTGAGGTGTTCACAAACATTTTCATCATTTGTTTGTGTGTGAGGTGTTCAATTCTGCCAGCACAGAGCACAGCAGCTGCCCTGTGCTTCCCGCTCACATGTCAAAAATCTCACGAAGAGCTGAAGGACACCCAAGGCTTAACCTTGATGGTTCAGTTACTAACTATAGGCTGGTGTGTGAAATCCGAGTGGCTTCTCCATGGGCCGGCTCCGTGGGGAAGGCTCGGTGCGGGCTGGGCGCTGGAGCCCGGCTGCCGAGGAGCTGACAGGTGCTGACACAAGTCCCAGGGATCAGCTTGTTGCTTTCTGGCCAATATGTGGTTTATAAACCAAAAGTTCCTCCATGTAGCTATTGGAAAAGGGAGGATTTCTTTTCCACAGTAAGTCTGGCCTGTGGAGAAGTTCAGTCAGGGACTGAGCTGTGGAGAAAACAAAATTTGTGTCCAGCTGCTTGACCACTGCTTCTGCTGCATATTGAACAGCTGTTGGGAGCTGGTGTGTGGGGAACCAAAGGCTATATGGGCATAAGCCAAAAGGTTTTCCATCACACAATTGGTTTTTATTTCAGGTTTTTCCTGATTTTGAACTACTCACTTTTGTTGCAGCCTGAACAATGGTCTTCACAGTGTTGTGGGCCTGTAAGTGTTTGCAAGATCTTTTTAGACAG